AAAAAAAAAAGCTGATCTAAATAAAGGCATGTGTCTGGCCAGCTGGCTGTTTTTCTCATGTTGGTTTTCTCATGTTCAGAAAATTGCCACAGCAGGGATAAATGGCGTCCAGTCCTAGCCTCACATATCACCTACAGAGCCCCAGTTTCAGGACAACACAGTGGAAAACACACACACACACACATAGAACAACAAAAACCCTACATCATTCATGCCTACTGCTATTTCTTGAGTATAGTAATTATTTAGTAATTATGACTTTTCAAGATGTACAAGGAAAGGAGAATAGCTGTTGATGTATAGAAAAAAATAGCAAGGAGAAGGTATAGGGTGTCCTATAACTTGAGGGACAGCTACCAGTGTATTAAAAAAGCAGAGATCTACTATTAATTAACTTGCTGTTTAGCCTGGGACAAATCCTTAAATGTAGCTGTTTGTCACATTTATCATCTAGACCATGGTCTATGGCTTATTCGTAGCCATCTTCCGTGTCCCACTCAATTTCCTTCTTGCCTCCCATACAACGTAGAAAAGAAAAAATTGGCTATGAATATGCAGACAAGGTGACAAAAGCAAATAGCCAATTAGTAAAAGTACTTTATTGTCCTCTTGTATTTGTTTTATATCTTGCTTTACAAAGTTATGAAGTTCACAGCTTTATACCAAAATGTAAGAAGACTAGGCTATTTGCTTAGAAATATTTTGCAGTCAGGTGTCCATCTGATTTCATTCTTCTAATCCACATTCAATACAAAAAAAGTATCAGATACCAAGGGTGCTGGAGCAGCTCTAGGGTATTTCTCTGAAGCAGGCAAAAAATCTTTAACAACCTCTCCTTTTATGCCCTCTCACTCCCCAGTTTTATAGAGATACTACCTTAATTTTGGAGCAAATCTGAGAAACTAGTCTTAATGAGACCCAACTGGCTACATACTTGGGAGTTGGAGGTGAGGTTAGAGGTCACTGTCTGATAGCAGGTTTGGTTTACATCAGGATTTCATACACTCTTGCATATGGAAGTTGGTAAAATTCAAAACACTTCTACAGTGACTTCCATTAGACAGCCTTTCTGAAACCCTGAGGATTCTGATGACTTGAGGCAGGGATTTTATCAGTGTGGCAGGTATGGACTTCATAACAGTTCTAGGAGCTCTCTTAGGTAAAAGGAACAAAATTTATAAGCATCTATAAACTGCAGTCATTTGAGCAAACCAAGGTGCACACTGTTCGAATCCCACAATATACTTCAACCAGCCCTTCACAATAAATTCTCTTCCATAAAATGTACCATACTATTCAACTAAGTGTTGTACACCTACTCCCACCAAATCATCCACATACGCTGTCACTAAAGCTGTCCACTGCATAACCTATTATCCCCCCTCCCCCAAGAAAAACCAGAAATCAACCTTTCATTAGGCAAATAATCACTTAAACAGCAACATTGTCCATAAATTATAGGAAGGTCAGGAACTTAACACTCAGCTGCTAATGCTTCTGAGGCAGAAAGATATTACCCCACAAAAGCAGAAATGTAGCAGCAATGATGTTCTCTCAAATTCAAGTAACATCAGGTCAAGAAAATCCTTTGCTTTTAGAGTTTTGTTTGCATTGGGTTTAATTGTTTTATAGCTGAGTAGAGGAATATGTCCAAAGACATTCTGAACCCGATTAAAAACTCTAAGATAAAATTTGACTGAGTTTATCAGAACAAACTGCTATTAAAAAACACTAGCACATGCACACAAAGGAATTTATGCGGTGGTTTTCTTGGCTTCCAGTCATTAGAAGTAGGCAGGGGCAATTAAAAATAACATTCTAAAAACAGCCTCTAACTACTTATAGGAAATGAGTTTTTTGTCAGGTTATGTAACAGTTTCCTTCCTTCATTACATGTTAAATACCAGAGTCGATGCAAATCCCTGAGCCATAACTCAGAGATTCTCTGACGAGAGACAGGGGTCGAATCAGTCAATACATTTACAGAAGACAAAAAATAGCCCAAGTTCTGCATGACTTTCATGATACATAAAAGTAATGACATACAACCATAAGCAGTTGGAACGCTTACAGTGCCTTTATTTCTAAACAGAGGACTGTAACAGTGCATCCAGGGTCACACACCAACCTGATGTTAGATGAATTTTACACATTTTGAAACAAAGACCATACTGTCGCTGCTTCAAAGAAAATTAATATGAAGTGAGGAAAAGTATTACAAGTGTAGGTGCCTGTGTGTATATACATGTACGATGAATCTTCACACATGTACACACAAGGCAGACCTACCGGACAACCAGAGTTGACCCGGAGCGGTTCTTACTGGCTCCATCTGGCGGTACTTTGAAAAGTTCCCCGAGAGTGCCCCACACCTCACATGCCCTGTCCTGCGGTGCAAGATCCCACCGCTCTCATACCTCAGCGCTGTCCTCAGGCAGGACAGAAAGGCACCCAAGCAAAGGCACAGGCCAAACCTCCCCCGCACACTACCCAGTCAGCATGGCACCGTGGCTTCACTGCACCCAGAGAAACCCAGGCTCAGCAATAGATGCGCATGCTCTTCCTGGGAACATTACGACTTCCAAAATCACAGAACTTCTCTGGTCACCCTTCCAGGGGAGGTGGGAGAGAGATGGGAGAACTCTTCCCGTCCCATCCAGAAACAGAACAAATACTCTTTATGCGACAGGACTGTCTGTTCTCACTCAAGTAATCACATAAATCTCAGTAATGTGGTTAAAGAACTAGATTAGCTCTTAACATTTTGTTGACTCAAGGAAGAACCACTGGAAAAAAGTGGTTCCTGGGAAAAAAGTACACATCCTGAGTCTGGCACACAACTTCACAGGGTTGCACATCATCATGCAATCTCTCCACAGCCGGAGCGTGTAGTGTAGCATTCACTCTTCTTCCTTCTTTTATCTCTCTACAGAAACTTTCACAGTTTTGAGAATCCAGAATAAAAGACCAGGATACAACATCATAGTGTCTCCTATGAGTCCAGAGAAAATGAGGGAAAAAAAAATCTAAGGTTTTGTTAATTTGCCTGCTCTCAATGACAAATAGAGTATCTTCACTAAACTTCTGTTCTTTCCCAGCTAGTGGGGAAAAAAAGGCAAAACCTCATTGCTAGAAATCAGTTTCTAAGAGGCCTGCCTGAGGTCCTAAACTCTGTTTCCTGCCTCCCCTATCTCGGAGGCTACAGGTGGATGGAAGGAAACCTGGAAGCCCAGAGGAAGTACTTCATGGCTGCCACCCATTTAGCACTGCTAGATACTAGGACAGAGGGACTGGCAATGGAGCAAGCTAGAAGCTTTCAAGCAGGCTTGTAGAGTCAGAAACTGGAAATGGAGATAAAGGTCACACCTCCAGCTTAAACACACTGACAATACCTACAGCAGTGAGTATGCAGTCTAAAGGCAAAATTCCAGGTAAGCCTTAACTGTGCACTGCCACGAATATGCACTCTATCAAGACCTGCATTTAAGCCAGCTCTGTCCATCTACAAGCAGGAGAATCTTGAAACACACTGAACATAAATGTTAAGAAAGAAAACTATTTGCTTTCAACTCAAATGCAGTTACTACAACTAGAAAAATTAGAGCTGATCCTAGAAGTCTAGCATTTGAACAAACTTGCACTTAACAGCCTGACTACAGGTTTAAATCATCATAAAGAACATCAACTAAAAATCACAAACTGAAATTAAAAAAATATATATGATCAAGCCCAAGCTGGGTAACCAACTGTAGTCTGTATCTTTAATAAACATCTGGAGAACATTAGTAGCATAAATTACTATATGCCATGCCATTCCAGAGGAGGATGGTTCTTTAAAATCTGTTTAAATCTGACAAATGTCCAGCAAGAACTTAAAGTATAACATATCACCCCACAGAGCCGCCCAGACTTATGCTAATGGTAAGCCGGGCTGGTAACCAACCACGTTCTCCTTCCCTTCCTTCCCTGCTTCCCTGTGGAAGGAGAGTGTGGCCTGTGTGAGGGGCCAATGTGATATTAGTTGCATTAATGACTTCCCATCATGGGAGGCAAAAAACTTCATGAATCAATTTTGCTGTCATCTTCAGCATGCCGTTCAATGTGTCCTGCAGCATCCTGGGAATAAAGGGGAAAGGGCCTGTGAGAGAACAGTTGACAACAGAGTTAAGACAAAGTCAAAGCAAAGGGGGCCTCCCTGGTGGCCTACGGGTTAAGTCTCGGCGGGTTAAGTCTGCACTCACTGCTATGGCCTGAATTTGATCCCAGGCCAGGTTGCTAATCCACATATGGCTCAGCAGACCTCTCCTGTCTCCCCTGCTGCTCCCCTCAGCAATGTGTTTATTTTAGTAGATCTGCCTGTCCTGCTCCCAACTATGTCTCTGGTGAATCTTCTCAACCCTGGCACCTCTGGTCTATACCCCACTTCTTCTCTGCATAAATAATAAATAAATTTAAACAAAAACAAAGTCAAAGTCAAGGAGAGTTTCATGGGCACATTCTAAATCCATACACAAAGGTAGTTAAGGGCCCTGCTCTTTGTTAATTTGCTAATAGAACTATGTAATTAATCTTGAGTTCTTGTCTTTGCAAGAACACTGTAACAGGCTCTAGACTCAGTTACTGGTTTTGAAGCATTTGTAAATTTTCTTTACTCTTTATCAAACAACCTAATTTTTCACTTGAAACCTCTTTAAGCTACCCCCAAATCTTTGAATAATTAATAAAAAGAAAAACCCTTAAACTCTCTTTATTGCAGTCCTGAACATTCTAAGAAATAAAGTTTCTCTTCCTGGCCCTGAGCAGTCAAATGATCCCAGATTAACCTGAGTCCCACTGATGTACCTGCTTGGATCCTTTTCTAGCAGTGAAAAAAGCATCACAGTTTTTCCAACGACATTTCAGAGTTTGAAAGTTTGGATTCGTATGGTCAGTCAGCAAATGTTGTTTTAAATGATCTACAACCCCAAATATCAGAGAGCAACCATGCCACTGCATAGAAACAGAAAGAACATTGAAAAGAGTACAGGGAATATGCAATCAGAACACTCCTCACTTGTTCCCCAGAAGCACAGTAGAAGTCCCTTATTTTTTAATTTACTGTTTGGCCAGAAAATATAATAAAGCAAGAGGCTACCAAATTAATGGCTACTACGAAAGTTGCCGCTACATTGTTAGAAAAGGAAGATGTCAGTGCACATTAAATTCTATTTAAACCATATTTATTCTTTATCTTAGACCATTTATTTTAAAAGGCAAAGAGCCTTTTAAGCAATATTGAAAGGTTTGTTTTTAACAATTTTTTATTGGGGTATCACTGGTTGACAACACTGTATGACTGACTTAGAAGTACAGGATTACAGGTCTTGATTTGTACATTTGAAAATAAAAATATCTGATAAGGAAAACTACACTGTGGAAATACTTGTCAAAAATTGTGTTTGCAGCAGGAGCCTGACTTTACTCAGTCTTTATCATGTGTATCCTAAAAACTACCAACGTTTTTTTTACTGTAAATATTCTCATAAATGTGGTTCAGTTTCACTTATTAGACAGGATAAAAGTGTTGCCTTGGCTTTCTCCTACAGAGATTCTAATTCAATTCTAATGCGCTTATTTCAAAATAGCAATGTAAATTTAATTTTCCCTTGGTCAGTACTATC